ACGTCAATGAAATTCTCATTCTCATGGGCCAGATCTATGTAAAGGTTTCTTTGGTTGGTATGAGGAAAAGATCATGTTTTGCGGTAATATGGTCACCTGAAGTCAATATTTCAGTACAGTGCAAAGGAAGTTTTTAAATGGAAAGGATAAAGCATTGTTTATTGTACTCTACTGCTCTTTTATTTATGGCAGGAGTGTCAAACTCTTCAGTGGAGAAGTCTGAATTATGTACTCAGAGCTCAGGTATCAATTGAGGGCTTCTCACTTCCCCCGCTTCACACACTGCTTCTACCGCACAAACAGCCAGGCACAACATGATCTTTATCGAGTAACAGCTCTTTTAGAGGGAGAATGTGCCACAGCAGCACACCACAAGCACTTCATCTCCATGCCCTGCTCCCTCGTGGTCCACCCAGCAGCAAACTACTTCCTCCCACACTGTGCTGGCTTCTTCCTACTGCAGTGAAGCTGAAAGCTTAAGTGTACAGCATAAGTGCAAACTTCTCAGAAACACAGCACTACCAGCAGGCTTTTCTCCCTGGCCCTGACACGGCATGGGGTTGTTCTCTGGGAGGTGCAAAGAAAGTCAGCCCAAACTCACCAAGGGCAGCAACCTGTGGGGAACACAGAGGGGAAGGCACCGACTGCAAGGCGGAAGAGTTTCATGGTAAACCAAGATCTTTTTCTGCATGCACATGGCCTTCAGCATCATTGTAAATAATACTCTTAATAAAGAGCCAATTAGCCTAACAATCTCATTACTAACCAGCATACAGTGTGGGAAGGACTAGCCTACGGCGTAACTGAGTGAAGGTGCACTCTCAGCTTCACGTTTCCTGCTATAACGTGCGTATAAGGAGGCCTAAATAGATGTGCAACAGATAAAAAGCATGGAGAGCTGAGAGAATAGCATGCAAACCTATAAAGAAGGTCCCATGGCCTGGAGCTTTGCATCAAATCCCATTAACAAAACTCAATAACCCCACACAAACCCTGGGTACTGACTCCCCAGCTGGCCTTGCCATAGCCTCCTCAGTGCTGGGCTTGGCGCTGGGGTAGGGCTCTGCACAGAGCAGAAGGGACTGTGGCATGGGGACAACATAAGCTGAGAGCTGGCACCAGAGCTGGAGGCAGGACCACAGATTTTCCGCAGCATGGTGAGTGAGGGTGTTGGGAGCTGGTCTGAAAAGGGAAGGTGGGGATGGGGAATCTGGGCATCGTGAATGTCTGTGATTTCTTGAGAAAAGAGCCCAGGATTGGAGATGTTTTGTCAAAATCGTGCAAGTGACATTTGCACAGAGGCCATTGTGGCTCACGCTAGTGTGGAAATTCACAGAGAATCACTGCATGGGATCTAGTGACAACACAGCAAGCTGTTAAATGGAACATCTTTGTCTTACATCCATACATCAAACCATGGGCTTCCATTTTCCCTTTACAGAACTGAAAGAATATCACGCAGGCTAATTTTGGAATCGCTCACATGTAAATCATCCTCTTGGGCTTGGGCCTTTCACACTGGGGTTCAGCCTGAGTGACTTTTTATAGCCGAGTTATAAACTTTTAAATGCCAGATTTAATCAGACCTACTGAGATGGCCATTAAAGGAATAGTTTAAATGGCATAGCCCTGATATATGATAGCACAGGAAGAAGGTAGGTGGCTCATCTGCAGTCGGCAGTCTATCTGGAAAGGAGCAGGGTCTGGTGGCTAGAAGCAGGCACTGAGACACAGATCTCTTGAGTTTTGCTCTTGCCCTTGTGCTACTGCTCAGTGACCTCGAGCAGGTTCCCTTGGGCTGCACTGCCCTGAGCAGACAGGTGTCAGACCAGAAATTGAAAGGATAATGTGTCTCACCATGCCCTGATTTCCCTAACATGCTAATGAGGGTGTAAATATGTATCTGCTTCCTCTAGGGAAGTCACAAAAATTGCTGGTGAATTGGCCTAGAGTTAAATGTGGTGTTGTGCAGACTCAAAACACACAAACATGAAAGCTTCATTTATGGCTGACTTAGAGCAACCACCCACAAAATCATACAGAATAATTATAATCACAGACACATCAGACAGTGAAGACTCTAAAAGACTTTGGGCTCAGACTTAAGGGGGACTAATGCTGCTTTACTCCTAACAGGAGACTCTGCAAAACTCTGAGCCTCCTAATTTTGCAAGCTGTGAGATACCCAGCAGGTTCCAGCTGTGAATCTGAGAGCCTCCCTGACTCTGCAACATCTTTGTGGTCTAAGCAGAACTGGACAGTCATCAATACGAGAGGAGATGCTTGGACAGAGAAATTGATCTGAATGAAAACAGTACAGGAACTTTTCAGGGTCTTCTTTCTAAATTTATTCAAGTATTAAACAAACAGAAACTACAGCATGCATCAGATACTTTTCTTTATTGTACAACAAAACTATGGACTTGTTTGTAATTGCAGCATTTCCAGCAACATCAGGCAGACTTGTCGATGTTATCCAGTTTTGCACAGTCACTAGAGTGTCGCATCATGAATTATTAAATCAGTGCTTCGTGGTAATACATAATTTCTTATCAATTATTCATGCTAATGTGCGTGTAGTTTACTTAATTGTGTTATTGACGATCAAAAGTAATTTCCTGAAAATCCTCAAGGACAGAAAATTTAATCAGCATAACTACTTTTCAGATGCAATGCTGTTAAGTATTCTTAATTTGCTCAACAATTCACTTATTTATGTACCTTTCTGGAGGAAATACGAGTTTAATCAAACAATTAGATTGAAGAGTTAGTGTACAGAAGGGCTGAAGTTCAACTGAATGCAAGGTAATTACATTGAAATGAAGTCAGCCCTGCCTCTTCGGAGTGGATTTT